CCTTAACCATTCTCCTGCCAGACTGATTGATGCCTAACTGCTCTCCTGCCAGCCTGTTTGCCCCTAACTGGCCTCCCCTACAGGCCTGGTCCTCCCCCCTAACTGCTTTCCCCTGCTGGCCTGGGTCTCCCGAATTGCCCTCCCTGTAGGCCTCGTCCTCCCCCCAACTGCCCTCCTCTGCTGGCCTGGTCACCCCTAACTGCCCTCCCTTGCAGGCCTGATCCCTCCCAACTGACCTCCCCTGCTGGTCATCTTGTGGCACCCATCTTTGGGACAGCCATCTTGTGTGTTGGAATAATGGTTAATCTGCATATTACTCCTTTTATATATATATATATATATATATATATATATATATATATATATATATATATATATATATATATATATATATATATATATATATATATATATATATATATATTTTATCAGTCCCTGTTAAGGATAATTAGTGCAGGACAGTCTTGGCTCCTGGTTGCCTGGTTCCTGCTTCAACAGTGCTTGGGTAGCCCCAGCACTCATCTCCTATCCCTATGGGCTGCATAGATCCAGCCCTCTTTCACTCCTCTTGGCGCCCTCAGATGCCCCAAGGCCCTGCCACCCACCCAGAAAATTGTGTCTCCTTCTCAGTTGCGCCAGAACTACCACCAGGACTTGGAGGCCGCCATCAACCACCAAATCTATGCCTTCTACATCTACCTATCCATGTCTTACCACTTTGACCATGATGATGTGGCTTTAAAGAACTTAGCCAAATATGTTCTTCAACAATCTCATGAGAGGAAGGAACATGCTGAGAAACTGATGGAGCTGTAGAACCAACGAGGGGGCAGAATCTTCCTTCAGGATACCAAGAAACCAGATTATAATAACTGGGAGAATCAGATGAATGCAATGGAGTGTGCGTCACACTTGGAAAAAAAAAGTGTGACTCAGTCACTATTGGAATTGCACAAACTGCCCACTGACAAAAATGACCGTCATTTGTGTGACTTCATTGAGACTCATTACCAGAATAAGCAGGCAAAATCCACCAAAGAATTGGGCGACCACGTAACCAGCTTACACAAGGTGGGGGCTCCTGAACCTGGCAGGACAGAGTATCTCTTTGACAAGCACACCGTGGGAGAAAGCGATGAGAGCTGAGCCTTGGGCTGCTTCCCATAGTCATGGTGACTTCCCTGGTCACCAAAGTAGTGCATGAACCCTCGGGTCACCTTTATCTTTTCTATAAGTTGTACCAAATCAGCTACTTATGTTCTTTCACTTCTACCATTCCTTCAAATAAAGTAATCTGGTATCCAAGGATAATTAGCATAGTTCATCTTTTCAGACAATGCTGCAAGGAATAACCTTGAAAATTCATTTCTTATTTTGCTTGCGTGCAATTATGTTGGTAGGATAAATTCCTAGAAATGCATAGCTCAGATGGTGGGTGGCAACTTCCCCTTTTAAAAAAATCACTTTGGCTGTAGATAGAGAATGGGCTGAAGAGCAAGAACCTGGGAGTTATGCATGACACTGTCCCCTCTTTACTCCTATCCACCACCAAGTCCTGCTTATACCAGTTCCATGGCTGCTCTCAGTCTGACCACTTGTTTGTGGCACCTCCTGATCACTACCCCAGCACAGAGAATCCTCATTCCTCTTTCTAATGGTTTATTCTAAAGGCCTCCTGCCCTGGCCAGTGGGGCTCAGTGGTTAGAGTGTCGGCCCGTGTATGGAAGGGTCGGGGCCTTGGGTTCAATTCCCGGTCAAGGGCACATACCTGTGTTGCAGATTCATTCCCCAGCCCTAGTCTGGGTGTGTGCAGGAGGCAACCAATCTGTGTGTCTCTCTCACATCCATGTTCTCATATCTCTCTCTCTCTCTCTCTCTCTCTCTCTCTCTCTCTCTCTCTCTCTCTCTCTCTCTCTCGCCCCCTGCCCGCCTCCCTCTTTTCCATTCTCTAAAGATCATACTTGGCTGCAAAGAAGGAAGTCTATTCTGGGTAACAGGCAGACAGGGAACTGACTGGATGTTCCTGGTCCTTACTGCGTCCCCATGCCCCAGAAAGAGCCTATCTGACCTCCTGCCCCGCCCTTTCCACTGCCTCCCTAATGGATCCTAAATGGTCCCGCTGATGTCTCATGTTAATCACCTGAATTGGATACAAATACCGATTTGGAAGCATTGGAAACATGTGCCAGCTATGAGAAGCCTTAAAGAGGAGATTCTGCCTCCCCTCTGATTTCCATGGTGGAATGCAGGGCCTGTCTTCGCATTTTATAGGTTTCCTCCTAAAGAGGAGGGGTGTTCCGATGCCGGGCACCAAAACAACAGGTGCTCACAAGGCAGCTGAGCCCCTCTCTCCTCACCCTTGATCCCTACTTCTAGCAGCTCCTCCACTGTGTGGCACAGAGTAAGCAAATCTGATCACACTTCTCCCGGCTGAAAACATTCTTTCTTTCTTTTTTTAAAAATATATTTTTATTGATTTTTTACAGAGAGGAATAGAGAGTTAGAAACATCCATAGAGAATCATCAATCAGCTGCCTCCTGCACACCCCCTACTGGGGATGTGCCCGCAACCAAGGTACATGTCCTTGTCCAGAATCAAACCTGGTACCTTTCCGTCCGCAGGCTGACGCTCTATCCACTGAGCCAAACCAGTTTTGGCTTAAAACATTCCTGACAGCTCCTGCTACCCTCAAAGGGAAGCACAAACTCTACGAGGCTTCCAAAGACTTCCGTGATCTAGGCTCCTCCAAAGCCTGGACTCATTTCTTGGCTCCCATGCCCAATACAATGTGCACGTGAAACTCCAGCTCAGTGCTCGGCCATCGGGGCCAAATGCATGAGCCCTTACCGTCTACCTCCACAGAGCTTTGAATACATGCTGGCCCTTGGTCCAGAAGGCTCTTTCCCTCCCCACTCCAGTTACCAGTCACCTCTGAAACCTGCACATTCTCTCTCAACTCTCAGGTCTCACTTGGACAGAATAGCCTTCATTGGATGAGGTACTTGCCCTTTGTCCTACTAGATGGGTTTCCCTCCTTCAGGGTACTTACCTGTACTCCAAATGCGTCCTAGGTCCACCTACTTTTCTCCATGTCAGCAATTTTCAACCAGTGTGCCGAAAGAATGTTTGAAACATGAAGTACCTATTTAGTCAGGGGCACTGACCTCTTTTCCCGTAGATTGACAACAGCCAATGCAACAATAGCCATCGGTGTGAATTTATAAAAATTATATCTATTTTCTTGTCATATTGGCAAAAAATGTCATTTCTGGTGTGCCACAGAATTTTAGTGATTAGTTGATGTGTGCCATGAGATGAAAAAAGTTGAACACTGCTGCTACATATCCACTGCCAGCCTCTCCCTACTGGAATTCTGTAGCCTCCCAACTGCTCTCTCTGCTTCCACTTTCTTGCCTCCTTAATGTCCACAAGCTAGAGTGATCTTTTAAAATATAAATCATCCTTCCAAAGGCTTCACATTTCACGTAAGAAAAACAAATGCCTGGCCATGTTCCTCCATCTCATGCCAGACCCCTGGGCGCTGAAAGGACACAGGCCTTCCTCTTCCCTGAACACATCCCACTGGCTCGAGGCTCAGAGCCCTTGTGGAACTCTGTGGCCCCACATCTTTGTGTGATTGGATCTGCTCAAATGTCATATACACTGAGGCCATTTCCCTTCACTCCACTCATTTTTGTCTTGTTGTCCTAAAAAATAAAACAGCCAGTTATTCTACCGACAAAGGGGGTTTATTCGGAAACAGCAGAGATTTGCAATTCAAGACAAGCATGCTATAGCAAAACCATAGGCAAGTTCGAAAAGCAAAGGAGAGGAACATTATTTCATAAAGAAAAAGAAGGGCCGAGACCGGTTTGGCTCAATGGATAGAGCGTCGGCTTGGGGACTGAAGGGTCCCGGGTTCGATTCCGGTCAAGGGCATGTACCTTGGTTGTGGGCAAATCCCTAGTAGGGAGTGTGCAAGAGGCAGCTGATCGATGACTCTCTCTCATTGATGTTTCTAACTCTCTATCTCTCTCCTTTCCTCTCTGTACAAAATCAATGAAATATATTAAAAAAAAAGAAAAAGAAAAAGAAGGAAATTGAGAGAAGTTGTTTAAAAAAAAAAAAAAAGTCCACGCCCGGCCAGCATGGCTCAAGGGTTGAGAGTTGGCCTATGAACCAGGAGGTCATCGTTTGATTCCCGGTCAGGGTACATGCCTGGGGTTGTAGGCTCCATCCCCAGTGTGGTGCATGGAGGAGGCAGCTGATTAATGATTCTCATCGTGGATATTCCTGTTTCTCTCTCTCTTCCTCTCTGAAATCAATAAAAATTTATTTAAGGGGGGAAAAAAGAGCATTTACTTAAAAATAAATAAATAAAGACAGTCTTTTTAAAGAGAGAAAAGGGAGAGTTCGGAGTAAGAAAGGAAGTCTTCCTACTGGAGAAGTAAAGTAACATCAACTGGCAAGGTGTGTCTCTTCCTGTTGAGGTTCCTAATTGTCTTCATTTCGGGTTCTGTAATTGACCTCTAGTGGTAATGCAAGAGGGCTCCCCCTTCTGGACTCCATTTCAAATGAGGGCTTTTATTAATTTTCAGTCTTATTGGCACTTACCACTCTCTGAGACCATCCTACTCATTTATTTATTGGATTTTCATCTTTATCCTCCTTCTAGCAGTAAGCAGGGAGCTTGGCTACCTTGCTGACACCACTGTATACCCCAGCACCTGACTCGGTGCTGGGCACAGAGCGGATGCTCTGCATTTGGGGATGAATGAATGGATAGGTAACAGAAGCCCAGTTGAATCTGGTTCTTTCTTCCTTTACTCGCTGAGTTTGGACAAGCCTTCGTTTCCTGGTGTGTGAAGTGGAGTGGGGGGAGTCGGATGTTGAACTAGACCGTGTTGAATAGCTGTCAAGTTTCGGCCTTTCTTTCTCACTAGTCTTCGGCCGGGAGCCAGCCCCGGGGTCCAGGACGCCTCAGCTCTCCACCTGTGAAATGGGTGTGAGCTCCTCCCAACGTCTCGGGGTGGTGGCGCTGCCTTATAAGGCCGCAGAGGCCGAGGGCGGGCGCGGCCGTGTGGGTGGAGAGAAATCACAACATCCTGCAGCGGGGGCGGGGCGGGGTGCCCGCAGCGCCGCGCCGGAGGCCGGGGAGCCACTGGGGTGGCCGGCCGCCCCCTTCGGGCCTCTCCCCGCTTCCTATGGGCGCCTCCCAGCACAGGCCGACTCAAAGGAAAACGACCGGACTGCAGCCCAGAGCGGCTGGCGGTCCCGGGGCCCCGGATACCCAATGTGCCCCCCCCCCCGCCCCCTGATCCCCTGCAAACCCCGGCAAAGCCTCGGCGGCCGCGGGGCCGGCCACACCCCCGCCCGCCGGCCCAATCAGAGCGCGCAGCTGAGAACAACTGCACATCCGGCCTCCGGGGCGTGACCCACCGGACCCGCCGCCGCTGTCCTGGCGGAGGCTCGGCCCTAATTGGCAGCTTGGTAACCTACGAAAGCGCAGAAATTCGAACCCGGGGGCCGAACCCCGCCGCAAACCGCGGAGGAAGGGGGTGCCACACAAGTCCCACCCCCTGCTCCTCTGGGCCAATCTCTGGCTCGGGGGCGGGGGAAAGTGCAGAGGTTGTCCAATGGCGAGCCGGCGCGGGGAGCGCCCTCCCGGGCATTGGCCGGGCAAAGTAAACAGAGGGCGGGGCGGGCAGGGCGGGGCGGGCCGGCGCCGGGGTGGCCCCCGGGGGGGGGGGCGGAGAGAGCGCGGCGGGCGGCGGCGGCCGGGGAGGCCCGGGAGGCCGCGGTGCGGTCACTGCGAGCCGAGCCGAGCCGTGCCGATCGCCATCCGGCCCCGGCTCCCGCGCGCGATCCCGGCCGGCGGCGCGGGCCGGCGGCGCCGCAGCCCATGGAGCTCGAAAACATCGTAGCGAACACGGTGCTACTCAAGGCCCGGGAAGGTGAGGCGGCCGGGCGGGCGGGCGGGCGGCCGGCCGGGGGCGAAGAACGCGGGCGCGCGGCCTCTGAGCTCGGTGGGGTGACCCCGCCACCCCGTCTCCTAGGGCGGCGCGCCTCGCGCCCCTCACTCCGCGCAGACTTGAGTCTTTCCGGCCCCGCGTCCTCCTCCTCCGCACCTGCCCCGGGGAGCTCGGGCCCAGGAAGGGGCGCCGGGGGAGGGAGGGTAGGCCACCACCCTCGCGGCGAGGGAACATGAGGGGTGAATGAGCCGGTCTGGTGTAGCAAGCGGAAGGAAGAGGGAAGGGTGCGACCTCAGACTCAGGAGCGCTTCTCTGGGGCCTCTCCCAGGTGAGCGATGAGAAGATGCCCCAGGAAGGGGCAGCCTCCCCCACGTGCCCAGGGCTCAGGTTCTGCGCACAGCCCGGACTGGCACAAAGTTGATGCAGGGTAAAGGTTTGGAGAATGAATGAACGGCCATTGGACTTGGGGAAGCTGCTAGTTACGTAGGCTATCGATATGACTGCCACTTGTTCTGCACCTAGTGACACTGGGGACAGAGGTGAATGGGTCACGATTTTTGCCTTCAGGGAGCACACGGGCTACCGGGGCAAACAAGCACAGAAACCAGTGGGAGGCAGCTTTGAAAGGAGGGAGCATACAGGACTGTAAGAGCAAGGCCTAGCAGAGGGAGCTGGTCTGGGGAACCAAGTGTGTGCCGAACTCCTCATGGTTCCCACCCAACATGTTACAGACACCTGCTCTGGAGGGTCCTGGGAGACACAGAAGGACCCAACCTGACCCTCCCTGCCTGGTGCTCAGTCTGCCCCTCCTCTGCTATTGTCCACCTTGGTAACATAATCACCGAACACCCCCTGTGTGCTGTGTCCTGTCCAGGGTGCTGGCAGCCAGCACTGTACAAGACCCTTCTTTGGGGAACTCTAGGACAGAGAGGTCATGACAGCTTTTCCGCTCTTCGCTGAGCTTCCAGGCTGAAAGCGTCCGGAAAGAGTAGTCTGCTTCACCTCTGTGCCCCTTTTGCAGCGACTCTCCTCCAGGTCATTAGTAAGGCTGTGGTTGACCCAGGCTTAGGAGACAGGATGCCCCCAATACAGTTTGTAGCAAGCCCAGGGAGGCCCCACCCGGCACCGCTTCTGGTACCTTCTGCCTGCCCAATGGGTATTGACCCCAGGGAGGTGCTGTCTGGAAATGGGCACGGCAGGCTGGGTCCTTAGTGCCCTGAGCCTTCCTTATCTCCTATTCCTTATCGAGTCCGGGGCTGGGCCTTCCTCCCAGCCTCTGGGGGCATCTGCCGATTCTGTTCTGCCTCGTCATCCAGCAAGCCAGGGAGGAGGGGTGAGGAGAGCCTGGCCTGGCCTCCCTCTCATTGCTGTAACCAGTTCAGGCCTCAGGCTGCTGAGAACACGGTCTTGCCTGGCGGGAGAGTATGTGCATCATCAGACAGGCTTCTTCAGGCGGTGGGCGCGGTGTAGGGATTTGGCTAGACCCGGGTCCCATGCCTCCCTCCCCTGGGGAACCCTCACCCCACCTGGCTTTGTCTCTCCCACCTACCTGGCTCTAGACAAGCCTCTTCTCTCTGAACTTTAGTAACCTTTTCTGTGGAATGGTTGGGAACAGGACATGAAAACTAAAATCCCGATTGTCTCTGAGTCCTGAACCCTGGCCCACGGTCTGGCTGCCAGTTTGCCAGCTTCCGAGGTTGTTTGGGAGCCCTTGGTGTATATCTTCAGTGGACACCCAATAAATATGTGACATATTTGGGGTGGGAAAGGAGCTTGGATTGTGATCCAAGGATAAGGGTTCCAATCCTGCCTCTGGTACCTCTAGGTTTTGAGATCTTGTACACAATGGTTCGTTTCAGGGTCTTGGTTTTCTTATGAAATTGGTCCAGGGCTGGCAGAGCTGCTGAGAGGATGAAGTGGGACAGCTCTGGGGATGTGAGGCCTTGCTCAGTCCTTCCTTTCCAGGTGCCTAGAGACAGTGCAGGGGCCAAGCTGGGGCAGGGAGGAGCCCCGCGGACTGGTGGCAGTTCCAGGACAGGATATTTGCGTGTGACTCTGCTGCTGCCTTAATGTGGCTGGGAGGAGGAGAGAAGGGGAGGAGGAAGTAACTGATGGGGAGGCAGGCGGATGGAGGGTTGGGTGAAGGGCCTGCGGGGGTGGGGGAGGAGTTCCCCTTCTAGGGAGGCCTTGCCTGGGTTGGGGGGGGGTCTATTGCTTACTCACAATGTAGCAATGACTGGGATATACTGGGCGTAGGCGGCAGGAGGGCTGCTAATGGGTTTCCCAATGGGTGCCCTGCAACACTTCCTCCTCCGGTCAGCTTGGGTCAGGGAGCATATTGAGGGACCCAGCCCTGCTTCCTCCCCAGAAGGCAGCCCCTTCTCCTTGCTCCACCTGCCTTCAGCAAAGCCAGATGGAGATAAGCCTGGGTAAACCAGGGGGGAAACTGAGGCTAGGCAAGGGAAAGTGGTAGCTTGAGATTGCCATTGATTTGGATCTGGGGCCCATCTCTTGTCACAGCCCTACTGGTATTGGACACAGACACTCCCAGTAACCTCACAACACCTCCGGAAGTGGCTTAGGATCCAAAGTACACATGGAGAAATTGAGGTTAATAGTGGGCAAGTGATGGGCGTAAAGTGTGAATTGGAGATTGCAACCAAGGTCTCCAAGACTCAGGCCCCTTCCACTATCCTCAACCTCATGGCCCACAGGCCACATCTAGCTAGCTCTCTTAACATGTTTTATTTGGCTGAAGTAGTATTTGAAAAAATAGGAACCAATCCTAACATATAAAAAGCTAGGGGTGTCACAACCGAAACAACCGGATGAATGACAGAACAGCAAGCTGGTAGGGCGACCAGGCCGGCAGGGGGGTTAGTGAGGGATGACCAAACAACTGAATAGCTGGCTGCATGAGGCGACCAGGCCGTCGGCGGGGCAGGGGGGTTGGGGGGGGGCAGCTGGGGGCAACCAGGCCAGTAGCAGGGGAAGCTGGGGGTGACCAGGCCAGTGGATAGGGAGCAGTTTGGGGAGATCAGGCAGGCAGGCAGGTGAACAGTTAGGAGCCAGCAGAGGGATTGTGAGAGGGATGTCCAGGGATCGGGCCTAAACCGGCAGTTGGACATCCCCCCGAGGGTTCCCAGATTGGAGATGGTGCAGGCTGGGCTGAGGGGACCTCTCACCCCCGCCCCCCATGCAACGGACCTATAGTATTTCATGTAGCAGTCTGGATTCCCAGAGCTGGCCACACTGAGCCAGCATTCCTGCCTAGCAGAAACCAAGCAACAGCTGGAATTGTGCTGCAGCTGCCTCTATTAGAAGGGGCATGACTAGATCAGTTCACCACACTCTCCACCACTCCCTGTTGTCTCCCATCTGGTCCACATTAACCACATCTGTCTAGCTTTGTAGGCATTTGAGCTGCTACCTTGGTCTCCGTAGCTGCAGTTGGGAGGTCACCTAGGTGAAATGAGGCAGGGAATCGGGGCCGGGGAAGCCTTTGTGTGCAGGGGTGGGCATCCTGAGTGCCAGCCCTCCTGCTGCCTCCTTATTTGAGTCTTTATAGCCCTGATACAGGTGACTCAGGCTGCCTCTGGCTCTGGCAACTCTCAGACATATTTCCTAGAATCTCCCCCTGACATGGTTCCCGCCATTGTCAAGTTCTTTTCTGTTTTCTTCAGAAACCTGAGAAACTACCTGGTAGGTAGCAGCTGAGACTTGCCGAGGCTGCCCAGAAACTCCATCCTTCCCCAGCATCCTAGTCTCACTGCCCTCTTGGCTCTTCCAGCCCAGGAGCCCCTAGCAGGAAGGTGGATGGGACCATGTATGTCCGGGAACCCAGTGAGGATATGTTGGAGTTGTAGAAGGAAGGCCTCTACAAGCCTTCGTTAGTGAGCTGTGCCTGGGCTGGACCACACTGAGAGTGGAGGGGAGGCATGGTGGTGGGCAGACTCAGTGCCTGTTCGCTCCCACAGGTGGTGGCGGGAATCGCAAAGGCAAAAGCAAGAAATGGCGACAGATGCTGCAGTTCCCCCACATCAGCCAGTGCGAAGAGCTGCGGCACAGCCTCGGTGAGGCCTGGGTGGAGACCGGGGTGCTGGTGTCAGGGAGCCTCCCCTGAGGCCTTACCCTGGGGCCCACGGGCAAGGTTGGGGGGAGGGGGGTCCAGGGAGCAGATGTAGGCTATACCACCCACCTCAGTTTCAGTTCCTGGGCTTGTGATGAGTGAGGGCAGAGAGCAAACAGAACAGCAGGGGGCGGGTGGGGTGAGTGTGGGGAGCAGGGAGGGTCAGATTTGGGGCAGAATGAGAAAAGCAGTGGAGAAAGGGCTGGGCCTGGGAGCAGAGCTCAGGGGACAGAGGCTGCAGGAGAGGCTGGAGCCAGCCCACAGATTGACTTTGTTGGGAGCTTACCCAGTCTGGTCTTAGGGGGCTCAGCAAAGTCTTGACCAGAGGGCTCAGAACCCCAGTTCCTGCTTATCGTGGCTGAGGCCCCAGGTCTGAGCAGCACTCCAGGTTGCCCAGGCCCCCTCTGACAACCTACATGTGGGCAAGGAGTATGTTGTAGCTGCTTCCACTGCCTGGGAAGGAGATCTAGCCTGGAGCTCAACGGAAGCCACAGCTTCCTCCCGTACTTTCGCCAGGCAGGCTGCAGGTGTGGGCCCAGCCTGGGCCTGGCCGGAACCTCAGGCCACACCCAACCCCAGCACTGTGACCAATGCGGGGTGTGTGAACCAGGCGACACTGGGGGAGGTGAGGGCCCCGGTTCTAGAGCTACACTCCTGGTTGTGTGACCTTGGACTAATCACTTAGCCTTTCTGAGCCTGAGTCCCAAGCTATGATATAGCAGAGGTTCAAAGGAGGAAATGGGTGCCATACTTCAGGGCTGGAAGCTGTCGATGGGACCCAGGGCCTGGGGGTGTGGACTGGAATGCCCCACTGGCCAGCTCCAGGTCCAGAACCCAGCAGCTCCCACCTCTGCCTGCAGAGCGTGACTACCACAGCCTTTGCGAGCGGCAGCCCATTGGGCGCCTGCTGTTCCGAGAGTTCTGCACCACGAGGCCTGAGCTGACCCGCTGCATTGCCTTCCTGGATGAGGTGGTGAGTGCTGCTTAGCCCAAAGCCCAGCCCAACACCCAGGGTAGACAGAGGCCCAGACCCTGTGTGCTCTAGTGCCCACGCCTGTTACTTCCCCCAGACCGCAAGCCTCTCCACCTTTTCCACCCTGCAGGCTGAGTATGAAGTGACTCCTGATGAGAAGAGGAAGGCATGTGGGCAGAGGCTAATGCAGAATTTTCTGAGCCACACGGTGAGTGATCAGTGATGGAGGGATGACGGCAGCGGGCAGAGCTCAGTGGTGGGGAGAGGAGTGGTCACCATCTGGGCAAAGATGCCCTGGAGCTGCTCCAGGCTCATCAGGCATCACTGTGGGCACAGAGTCTGGGGGGGGGGGGGGGGGGGAGACAGACAGCCTGCCAGCAGCTCTGCTTCCTCTCGCCTCTAATGTAGAAGCAGGAACTGATTCAGTAATCAGACAGGCTAGGACACTTGCAGCTGCTTCTAGCACTGGCCCGAGATATCTGCCATCTCTGCCCTAGGAGTGAGCTGCTGGCCCAGGGGGTCCATTCACTGACCTGTCTGTGGCCTGTCCTCAGGGTCCTGACCTCATTCCTGAGGTCCCCCAGCAACTGGTGACTAACTGTGCCCAGCAGCTGGAGAAGGGGCCCTGCAAAGACCTCTTCCAGAAACTAACACGGTAAGCCTCTCCCTCCCACAGGCCTAAAACTTTGTCCTGAGGAGGGGCTTCTGTGGGTCTCAGCTGCTCAGCCTCTCATCCCAGCCTTGCCATGCTGTGTGACCTGGGGCAGGTTGCCGCCCCTCTCTGTAGCATCCTCAACTTCAGCCCCTCTCTGTCCCAGTGGGTTAGTAGGAAGGTTGGCTGGGGATGCTGCCTTTGAGGCTGAACATGCATGTAACGGGGGACTGGTCCATCAGTCTGAGAGCCTGTGCTGACCAGTGGGCTGGGCCTTCTCAATAGGCTGACCCATGAGTACCTGAGTGTGGCCCCTTTTGCCGACTACCTCGACAGCATCTACTTCAACCGTTTCCTGCAGTGGAAGTGGCTGGAAAGGTGAGTGCCTCGAAGGCGGGGCCGGGGCAGGCCAGGTTGTTGGGGCTGTCATGGGCCTTGGACCTCTTCAGTCATTGGCTCCCCACATCCTTTCCCACAGGCAGCCAGTGACCAAAAACACCTTCCGGCAGTACCGCGTCCTGGGCAAAGGCGGCTTTGGGGAGGTGAGTAGCCACACCAGAACCGTGCAGCGGTGAGGTAGGGTGGGTCCTGGATAGCCCTCCTCCTCGCCCCCCAAACCTCTGTACCCCCAGCAAGAGTACGGCTGGTTCCCATTTACTCATCTACCCTGGCTGTTAGGTGTGTGCCTGCCAGGTACGGGCAACAGGCAAGATGTACGCCTGCAAGAAGCTGGAGAAGAAGCGCATCAAGAAGCGGAAAGGGGAGGCCATGGCACTCAATGAGAAGCAGATCCTGGAGAAAGTGAACAGTAGGTTTGTAGTAAGTACAGACAGGAGACCCAGCCCTGCCCCTGGCCATGTGCTTGCCCTCCCCACTTACCAGGCTGACCTTTTCCCCTCAGCCCACCCCTCATTCCCTCCAGGCTCTGCCTCCCATTCTTGGAGATGCCTGGGAAGGGCAGGTTTTGGGGTGTTGATACCAGGCCTGGGAAGCAGGCTGGGCCGCCAGGAGTGGCACTGAGGATATTTGGGGCGGCTGGCACCAGCCCCGCCACCAGGTGGCCTGTGACTCCTGCCTGAGGGCTTGGGTCCCTTGGGCCACAGGTGAGCTTGGCCTATGCCTATGAGACCAAGGACGCGCTGTGCCTGGTGCTGACACTGATGAACGGAGGTGACCTCAAGTTCCACATCTACCACATGGGCCAGGCTGGCTTCCCAGAGGCACGGGCCGTCTTCTACGCTGCCGAGATCTGCTGTGGCCTGGAGGACCTGCATCGGGAGCGCATTGTGTACAGGTGCGGAGCGTTGCCTCCCTGCCAGGGCTGTGGCTGGGCACGGGTGAAGGTGGTGGGAAGGTATGGGTGTCTGAGGCCAGGGAAGCACTGGCTGGAGGCTCTGCCCTTGCCCGCATTGGGTGGACTTGAAAGGCTCAGAACCCAGTCTCTGGGGTCTGGCTGATACAGGGGTGACTCTGACACTGTCACCCTTCTCAGTGACTGGGCCAGTCTGCTTCCTGCGCCTAACACCGTTTTTTTCCTGGAAAGCAGAGGCTTTCATTCCTGCCTGGTGGGTTGTTATGGGGCCAAATGAAATGATTTAGTAAAATACACAGGGCTTGGCAGTGGGGGCTCTACCTATTACTGTTATTGGTGATTATTTCCTTGGAGTCTCCCAATAGTCCCAGGAGGGAAAGAATGAGCAGCCCTGTTTTACAGGGAAGGTAGAGTCAGCCACCAAAGGGTGGGATGGGCGGGGGGGCTCGACCCTGGGTGAGCAAGGCTACTGTGGGGCTTCCCTAGGTGAGAGATGCCCTCCACATGCCCAGTGAGTCCCAGGAGTCCTGGCCCCACAAGTCCTTCATCTGTTCCCTCGAGCTGGGGTTGCTGCGGGTGGAGGGCAAGGCTCTCTTGTCACCCTGGCAGCACATGGCTCCTACACCTGCTGCACATCACATCCCGGAGCTGACCCAACAGGGAGGGGGTAGCCCTTCCTGGCTGCCTGGCACACTGAGCAGCATCTGATCCTGCCCTTCTCTCCCCACAGGGACCTGAAGCCAGAGAACATCCTACTGGATGACCATGGTGGGTGGGGGGGGCCACAGAGGTAGGGTGGTGTGGGGTGGGGTCCAGCCCACCTGCTTCATGGGCTCCTCACTTTTTTACCCACCTTCAGGTCACATCCGGATCTCCGACCTGGGACTGGCTGTGCACGTGCCCGAGGGCCAGACCATCAAAGGCCGTGTGGGCACCGTGGGCTACATGGGTGAGTCCTCTCACTGTCCTGGGCCCGACACTGAACCCTTCCCCCCCACTTTCCCCCCACCCCCCACCCCCTGCCCGAAACTTCTGTGAAGTCTCCTGTGTCTCAGGGAATAGAAAGAGCTATTGTCCCTCTTTCATAGATCAGGAGTCGAGACTCAGCCAGGGCCCCAAATACGTGTGAACCCACTTCGCTTATTAAAAACTTGCTGAGCTCCTGTTGGCTGGGCTTGCAGGTGGCAACCAGTGAAGGGACTTAAATCCATGTCCATGGCCCCAGCCCTCCACTCCCCTCACCTGCCTATACTCAGAGCCGAGTGTCCATCTGGGGAGGGGCCAAGATGAGGTCCTGGGTTTCTCTCTGGGACCACATGACACAATAGACAGAACCCAAACTACAGGAGTTCTCTCTCTCTTTTTTTTTTTTTTTTAAAATATATTTTATTGATTTTTTACAGAGAGGAAGAGAGAGAGACAGAGTTAGAAACATCAATGAGAGAGAAACATCAATCAGCTGCCTCTTGCACACCCCCCACTGGGGTTGTGCCCACAACCAAGGTACATGCCCTTGACCGGAATCGAACCTGGGACCTTTCATTCTGCAGGCCGACGCTCTATCCACTGAGCCAAACAGGTTTCAGCTACAGGAGTTCTATTCCCCACCCCTTGCCTATTGTATCCGTGGGTCAGCCCGTCCCAGCCTCGCTTTCCCTGACCGTGATCCTCTTACCGCCTGCCAGGGTTGCCTCGAAGATGAAGAGGCAGTAGAGGCAACTCACCCTGCCCTGCAGGCAGTGTAGGCATCCAGCAAGTGACTCTCCTCCTTTCCTTGGTCTAATACTAAATCCATACGTTACAAACTGGTAGCCATACGGGCTTCATTTGGCCTCCATTTGTGTGTTTCAATCAAATTATGTTTAAAACAATTGGAATTGGTTGCCAACATTGAATGAGCTAGACAGTAAAAATATGGATTTCTGACTTCTTTGAAGTTAGAAACTTGCCCTCTGTGGGTGCTCTCCTACCCACCATGGTCCCCACCAGGCCATTGGCGGTGTTTGAGCTGATCTCCTGCCTTGATATGTGCTGGGCTTCCTGGGATACCCCTCATTCATTCTTACCCCTAACTCTGATGCCACCCATCCAGCTCCAGAGGTGGTGAAGAACGAACGGTACACGTTCAGCCCAGACTGGTGGGCGCTAGGCTGCCTTCTGTACGAGATGATTGCAGGCCAGTCGCCCTTCCAGCAGAGGAAAAAGAAGATCAAGCGGGAGGAGGTGGAGCGGCTGGTGAAGGAGGTGGCTGAAGAGTACTCGGAACAGTTTTCCCTGCAGGCCCGCTCACTCTGCTCCCAGGTGTGGCAGCCAGCGGGAGGCCTGGGCTGGGGCTGGGCACCTCTCCCAAGGCCGCCCTGACCACCCCTCCCCTGCTACAGCTCCTCTGCAAGGACCCTGCCGAGCGTCTGGGGTGTCGTGGAGGTGGTGCCTGTGAGGTGAAGGAGCACCCCATCTTCAAGAAACTGAACTTCAAGCGTCTGGGAGCGGGCATCCTGGAGCCACCCTTCAAGCCTGATGTGAGTGCCACCTATATGAAGGCAGGACCAAGCCAGGGTGGGGACTGGGGGCTCTTGAGTCAGGATACCCTCCATTTGAATGTAAGGAAACCTAGCTCAAATGGCTTAGCCAACAAAACAGATCGTTCCCTGGGCTCAAAAAAATGAAAAGCCCCATCTTGGGTTCCAACTGTGTTGTAGGAATTGTCTCTCTTCCTCTCCCTTCCCACGAACTGGTCAAGGTGCAGTCTTTTCTCTCAGGTAGCTCTCCCAGGGCATGGACTCAGCAGCCCGAACCCATATCCTGCTAGCTCAGTCACTCCTGTAGATAAAGAGCACCTCTTTTTAAAAAAAATATATTTCATTAATTTTCCACAGAGAGAAAGGGAGAGGGATAGAGAGCTAGAAACGTGATGAGAGAGAAACATCGACCAGCTGCCTCTTGCATACCCTCTACTGGGGATGTGCCTGCAACCCATGTACATGCCCTTGACCGGAATCGAACCTGGGACCTTTCAGTCCCCAGACCGACGTCTGTCCACTGAGCCAAACTGGTTTCGGCTAAAGAGCACTTCTTGCCCAATAATTTAAAAAGTCCTAAAAGGGAGGATAAAAGCCTAAGGCTGACGCTAATAGCCTTTGATTCCTCAGAGGCCCCTCAGTGGCCACACTGGATCATACGCCTACCTGAAGCACTGCTAATGGAGGAGACCAGTTCCCCAAAGGAAAACCAAGATGCTGCTAACAGCAGGGGGAAGTGCTATTAGGGTTGGCATAACACCTTGTGCCCACCTTCCATCTGTGGGCAGAACCCTCCCTCTTAGAAAATCTCACCCATTTGCTGACATCTCAGTGGGTCAGGCATCCTGCAGGCAGGAATAGTCTTAAGTTATCAGACTCCAAGTGGCAAAACCCCAACTCAGACTTACTTCAGACTTACTTATGCCCAACATGGAGTTGGTTTATTTGGCCAGAAAGAGTAGGACCCACATCAGGGTTTTATGCTGTGTTGTCAGGACTCCATCTCTTGGCTCTGTTTCATTCTGTTGACTGCCCTCTCACTAAATTCAGGCTTCTCTGTATGAAGTCACAGGAAAGGTTCTTCTGATTGGCCAAAATTTGGTCATGTACTTACTCCCCTCCTATGTGTGAGAGGCCTGTGTCCTGTGTTCACCAGGAACACTGGGGAGGCAGGAAGGTGATGGGCAGACCAGGTTGATGCATGGTTGCTATTTCATTCAACAAATATTTGAGTGTCCAGATGTGCCAGACCTTGTAGATAATGAGGTCAACAGGACCCAGTCCTCCCTTCATGTTCTAGTGGGAAAACACCAGTATAAACCAGTAAGTGAAAACATTCTAGGTAATGTGAAGTGTGCAGTGGCAAAGGAATAAAGCAGGCTAAAAAGAAGATAAGGAAGATGGGGTGTATTTTTAGACAGGATGGTCTCTGAGGAGTTGACAGTTAAGCAGAAGCCTAAAATATGTGAAGGAGAGAACTCTGCCAAGATTTATAGTGTGAGCATTCCAGGGAAAAGGAATGAGCCAGGCAATGAGGTCCTGGGGCAGGGACCGGCTTCAAGAACTAATACAGCAACGAGGGGCGAGTGTGACTGATGCGTCTTCCTCTGAGTGTGAGGGGAGCCTTTGGGGACATGGAGGCAGGAAAGTGAGGTGTCGGGTGTGCCACAGAGGAGGTGAGTGGGAGTGAGGGACCCGCCAGTGGACTGCCGCCTCTGAAGGACTGTCATGTGGGCCTCACTGACACCCCGTGATGTGGGCATTGCTGGGGGTGGCGGACCCTGACGTCAGCAGCTGCCTCCAGGCTGCACTGCCACTCCTGCTTCCCAGGCACATCGTCTAATTTAACCTTGAATCCGCCCACTGCTCCCAGTCTTTTATTCTGAGTTAGAAAATCAGCCCAGCCGGTGGCGCTCAGCGGTTGAGCATCAGCCTATGAAGCAGGAGGTCATGGTTGGATTCCCCTGATCAGGGCACATGCCCAGCCTGTGGGGTGTGCAGGAGGCAGCCCGTCCATGATTCTCTCTCATCACTGATGTTTCTATCTCTTCCTCTCTGAAATCAATAAAAATATATACTTTTTTTTTTTTTAAGTTAGAAAATCAGTGCCTTGGACTTCAGTTTTTTAGAAGCAGCAGGTGAAAAGCAAGGTTGTTTTTTAACAGCTTTATTGGGAATTAATTCATATACTATGTAATCCACTCATTTTAAAGTATATAATTAAATGTTTTTAGCATATTCAGAATTGTACAAGCATCATCACAATCAATTTAGAACATTTTCATCCCCCCCCACCACCAAAAAAAAACAAAAAACAAAAAAACTCGTACCTGTTAGTAGTCATTCCCCATTCTCCCCTTCCCCTGGCAACCACCAATCTTTCTTCACTATAGACAGGGTGTGCTTAAAAAAAATGTGTACATACTTAATAGCTGATAGCTCAATTGATTTTTTTTTTTCTTTTCAGACTTAACCCATTGGAATTAATAATTATTCAAAGTGTGTATACAGTTTTTGGGGACACCTTATATTTGCATAATCTGGACATTTTAAATAAATGAAATTATGCACTGTGTAGCCTCTGATAATGGCATCTTTCCCTTTGAATTTTTTTCTTTTCTTCTTCCCTTTGCATGTTTATTAACTTCATCAGTATTATAGCACATTTCAGTTTTTTCCAGTGTATGAATAGCTCACATTTTGTTTGTCTTCATCAGTTTCTAGACATCAGGGCGGTTTCCACTTTTTGGCTATCATGAATAATGCTGCCACGAACATGCACATGCACGTTTCTGTGGGGACACAGGCTTCCTTTTCTCTTGGCTGTGTACCTAGGAATGGAGTTGCTGGCTCATCTGGTAATGCTGTTTAACCTTTGAGGAACTGCCAGACTGTTTTCCATAGCAGCTGCACTATTTCATATGGGATGTTTTTTTGTTTTTGTTTTTTTTTAATGTAAGGGCTGCTTTTTTTTTTTTTTTAATCATTTTATTATTTAAAAATATATATATATTTTATTGATTTTGTACAGAGAGGAAGGGAGAGAGATAGAGAGTTAGAAACATCGATGAGAGAGAGTCATTGATCAGCTGCCTCTTGCACACCCCCTACTGGGGATATGCCCGCAATCAAGGTACATGCCCTTGACCGGAATCGAACCCGGGATCCTTTAGTCCCCAAGCCAATGCTCTATCCATTAAGCCAAACCGGTCCCAGCCATATGATGATGTTTTAATTGATATCCTTAATAGTTGGGGATAGAGCAAGCTGTTGAACATCCCAAGACACAGACCCCTCAGCACTGGGCCCTGCATGCAGGTGCCTGCTGAAGGTGCCTGCTGAGATTCAGCTTCTGCTCACCTCACCAGCGGCCCTCGCAGAGAGCAGTGTGCTAATGGAGGGGGCACTTGTTAGTGGTTCCCCTGGCACTGTGGAGGCTACTGGCTGTGGTGGGTCAGCTACCAGCAACTGGTCAGGATTGGGGAATGATCCCATTTACAAAGGGGAACTGCGCTCAGAGGGAAGGGACTGCCATACTTAAGAAGTACATGGCTCAGTGGATAGACAGCCTGTGGACTGAAAGGTCCCAGGTTCGATTCCAGTCAGGGGCATGTACCCAATGAGGGGGGTGCAGGAGGCAGCTGATCATTGTTTCTAACTCTCTATCCCTCTCCCTTCCTCTCTGTAAAAAAAAAAAAAAAAATCAATAAAATATATTTAGCCAAAACCGGTTTGGCTCAGTGGTGGAGCCTCGGTCTGCGGACTGAAAGGTCCCAGGTTCGATTCTGGTCAAGGGCATGTACATTGGTTGCGGGCACATTCCCAGTAGGGGGTGTGCAGGAGGCGGCTGGTCGATGTTTCTCTCTCATTGACGTTTCTAACTTTCTCTCCCTCTCCCTTCCTCTCTGTAAAAAAAAAATCAATAAAATATATTAAAAAATAAAATAAAATATATTTAAAAAGAAAAAAAAAGTACATAGTTTGCTGGTTTCTGATTCCAAACCAGAGAGCACAACCAGGCTAAGACTGGAGTGGTTCTCAGGGCTGAGCTATCTGACCACTGCCTTTGTCCCCTCAGCCCCAGGCCATCTATTGCAAGGATGTGCTGGACATCGAACAGTTCTCCACGGTAAAGGGTGTGGAGCTGGAACCCGCGGACCAGGACTTCTACCAGAAGTTTGCCACGGGCAGCGTGTCTATCCCCTGGCAGAATGAGGTGGGACCTGCCCAGCTGGGGGCCGGGGGGGGGGGGAGTCCAGAAGTTGGTCCTGGGGGCAGTTCTCACAGCTGCCTGTCCTGTGGCAGATGGTGGAGACCGAGTGCTTCCAGGAGCTGAATGTCTTCGGGCTGGATGGCTCCGTTCCCCCAGACCTGGACTGGAAGGGCCAGCCCCCGGCACCCCCCAAGAAGGGACTGCTGCAGAGACTCTTCAGTCGCCAGGTAACCCAGTAGTGTCCTCCCTGGGCCCCAGCCTTGCTCCAGGGGGTGGTGAGTGGGAGGCTGGGCCAGTGCCCGCATGTGCTGTGAGTGGGCCTCCTCCAGCCGTGCCAGTGGTGCCCAGGGTCTCTGGCCTCAGTCCCTCCGTCCCCCACCTCTGCTGGGCTCACGGCCTCTTTTCTCTTTCCAGAGGTGAGCAGTGTAGGCTCCCCGTGGGTTGGCTTTGCTGCCTGGCCCCGGGGAGCCACGGGCAGTCCTTCCATGGCAGAGGCGAGATGTGGGAGAAAGAAGTCCGGTGCCCGCTCCCCGCCTGACCCTCCCCTCTGCTTTTGTTTCCTGCACCCCAGCACCTTCAAGCTGCTAGCCTTGCTTAGCATCTGTTTCCCCATGCTCTGCCTTCAGCTGCCCCCGGGAAGAGTGGCTGGATGGGGCCCTGCCCTGGCAAAGCCTGGGTTCCACCTGGTTCCCCCTTTCTTCAGCCTGTACTCGGCAGCCCCTGCACCAGTGTGTGGCCTGAGCTGCTGCTCCAAGCCCCTCGTGGGATGTTCCCTCCCCAGAGCATGGTCCGCTCAGTGATGGCACTGGTGGCTAACGGCGCTTGCTCTGCCTCTTTCCCTCCGTGTCTTCTCCGCCCTCCAGGATTGCTGTGGGAACTGCAGCGACAGCGAAGAAGAGCTCCCCACCCGCCTCTAGCCCCCAGTCCGAGGCCCCGACCGGCGGTTGGCGGTAGCAGCTACTTCGAGTGCTGTTTACAGTTTTGCACAGTGGTCCTCCCCATTGTCCACTCAAGTTGTGGCCTGGGGGACACAAGCCGGAGCTGTCCCCAGTGTTGTCTGCCCCTCAGCCCGTAGCCTGGCTGAGTTTGGCAAGACCTAGGCTGTCCTTGGGACAAAGGTGCGTCCCTTCAGCTCTTGTCGGTGGAGCTCGGGGCTTTCTGTATTTATGTATTTGTACGAATGTATATAGTGACTAGAGCGTTCTGAAGACCCACGCTGGAGCTGGCAGAGGGGCCACTGCCAAACTCGAGGCTCCTCAGGCCCTTGAGCCCCAGCACTGTGCTCACCACCGCCGACCTCCGAGTGAGACTCGTGCCTGCCTCTGCTGCCCTGGGCTCAGGCCGCCACCTCGGGCCCAATGCTGTCCCTTCTCAGCACTTGTCAGAGCTGGACCTGGGGCATGTGCCAAAGTATGAACAGAGGGTGGGCTGATACTGGGACCCATCAGTCCACTGCCCAGGCTGTCCCAGATGGGGTGCCTCTGCCTTCCAGCTCCCAGGGCACCTTGTCCCTCATGCTGGGCCTGTTCTGAAGACACCTCTTGCAGAAATGCCCCATCCCAGGAGTGTGTCCCTGGCCAACCCTCAAACATTCCAGACTTCTCTCATAACAATAGACACGTGCCCAGCAATAATCCGCCCCTCCCTCTGTGTGTGTGTGTGTGTGTGTGTGTGTGTATGCGTGCACACGGGTGCGTGTGTATGTGAAGGGGGTAGGCTGTGGCTATGTGCCTATATGCCAGGCCCCACCCAGCCCTTCCCAGACTGGATAGCCATCCTGGTCCCAGTGTTGAGGTAGCATGGGATTACAGGACCCAGGTTTTTCCATATTTAAAGCCAATTTTTATTACTCATTTTGTTCAATGTACGCCGCCACGTGTCTATGTGAATACAGTCTCAGCACAAAGCTGGCCAGCTGCCCCTGCCTACTTCTTGTTCCTGGTGCTCGGCCGGTCTTCCTTCTTCCCTGGATCTGCTGGAAGTGGGAAGGGATTGGAAGTGGGCCTGGTGGGGGCTACCTTCTAGCAAGGGCCAGGAGTTCCCAGGGTGACCTTGGGGCAGCCTCTCCAAACACTCCGGCCTTGGTGGCCTTTGGGCTCACCCTTTGGATTTCTCAGCTTCCTAAATGGGATGAGGCCTGAGGGAATTGGGTGCTCACCATGGTGTGGGTCTGGCTTTGCCTGATCCTGAGAGGCAGGCTCAGCTGGCAATATCCCCTCCAAGGCCAAGGTAGCCTGGCCTTCAATTGTGGACTTGGAAAGAGTGAGGTAGAGTTGCTGTTAGAAACACCTGCCCGATCAGTCTCACCTGGACACTTGCTGTGTGCCTGGCCCTGAGCCAGTGACCGCGCAGTAGAGCCATCCCTCTGCTTTGCCCTTGAAGTAGGGGATGTGGCCAGGCCAAGATGAGATAATGGCAATACTGGGCATTAGGCTGTGGCAGAGGCTTGTGGCATCAGGAAGGGTCTTCTGAAGGTAGAAGTTGAGCCAGGCCTTGAGACATTCAGCAGGGGACAGATGGATTAGGAGAGCATTCCATCCATAGCATTCAAAGTGCAAAGACTTGGGGCTGGGCGGGGGGTGGGGGTGCAACAGCCTATTAATCACAAGTCTGTCCCAGTCTCTAATGCCAGTGACCTCAGACACAAACCTACCCTTGCCTTGTGCCACCATAAGATTTTGTTCATTGCCTCTGGGCTGGTTACCCCATTGCCACAGAGACCACATGAGCTTTGCTATTGGTTCTGGATTCAAGTCCCAGCCTGTCACTTTGCCAAATGGAAAAATGAATGTGATACCCATTGATTCACAAGGCAGCTATGGGAAGTAGCCAGTCACCCCTCCTCTTGAGCTCCTAGATCACTAACAGGTCTTGCTTGCCAAGGGAGTGGATGTTGGGTCCCAAGCTGACCATTATATCAGCCAGAAAACTCCAAGCAACAACTTATAAGATGAGGGCTCTGGAGCTGTCTCAGGTCTTGGTGGTGAGTGGAGTGTGCACTGCCTCTTCTAGTAACTCGAGAGAAACAGGGTAAGGAAAGCACCTTGCCAAGTTCTTCCAGCTGGTGAGTGGCTGTTGCAGGGCAAAGGAAAGCAACTGAAGGTGACGCTGGATCCTGCCCATGAGGTTAGGGGCCAAGGTACATTTTCCTCTCTGCTCCAGGCTCTGGGAGGAAGGGCAGTTAGGAGGTATCAGCATGCAGAGGCTGAAGCCCCGCCCTTGGCAGGTGTGAGTGGGTGCCAAATGGACAGGAAGGACCCTGTGGCACACTACCTGCAATGGGTCCAGATTTCCCACTCACCTTCCCCTTGGGATAGGGAAGCATCCAGGAAACTTCTTGGCTAGGGTTCAGCTTACCTTACTGCTCACAGTGCTCCACTGGCAGAGGAAACTCGGAATCACTTCCTAACAAGCGTGCCAGCTGAGAGCGGGCTGGGCACTCGAAGATAAGGCCCTGACAGCTTGGAGCTCAGTCTGGTAAGGAGACAGACATGGGGATAGTGGGGCCCAGTGTGCATAAGTGGCAGAGATCATTCAGGAGCTGGGAGGGCTGGGACTAGGGAGGGAAAGCCCTTTGGCCACAAAGGTGTCAGAGTTGGTGCCCTCCAGCACACAGGACCAGATGTACCTGGATAGTCTAGGGCTGTGGTCAGCAAACTGCGGCTCTCAAGCTCCATGTGGCCCTTTGGCCCCATGAGTGTGGCTCTTCCACAAAATACCACGGCCTGGGCGAGCCTATCTTGAAGAAGTGGTGTTAGGAGAAGTTTAAGTTTAAAAAATCGGGCTCTCGAAATTTCAGTCGGTGCACTGTTGATATTTGGCTGTTGACTAATGAGTTTGCCAACCACTGGTCTAGGGCTTCAAGTGGTTTAAGATGGCTAAACATGAGGTGGGGTGGGTGAAGTGTGGAAGAGGGAGTGACTGGATTGAGGTCAGTGAGATACAGCCATGTATGGCTTTGAAAGCAGTGTTAACATGGGGTCTCATCTGGAAGGCAGTGGAAGAGTGCCTGCCCAGCATGCACAAAGCACCCCATGTTTCCTTTGGGAAATCCAGTCAGTCCATGTGACTTAGATGGGGCGGGTTTGCACCCACTGCACACACACCTAGAGCTGCGTGACTCAGGTGGGGCTGTTGGGGGTCTTTGATTGCAAGTTAGAAAGTGTTTTTGTTTTTTTTAATAAATTTTTAAAAATATTTTTTATTGATTTTTTACAGAGAGGAGGAGAAAGGGATAGAGAGCTAGAAACGTCAATGAGAGAAAAACATCGATCAGCTGCCTCCTGCACACCCCCCACCGGGGATGCGCCCGCAACCAATGTACATGCCCTTCACCGGAATTGAACCCGGGACCTTTCAGTCCACAGACCGACGCTCTACCACTGAGCCAAACCGGTCTTGGCTGTTTTTGTTTTTTTTAAAGCAAGGATGGGGGCAGGGGCTGATTGACAGGAAGAACCAGATTGGGACGGCTCCAGGGTCTTAGTGGTAGACTCGATTCTCATCAGGGCACAACTCCCAGAAGGAAGATGCTACCATCATGTTCGTGTCTGCATTGCTGACATAAACCCAAGGAATCTGAGTAACCAGACTGGAAACCTGCCCTCTGTGCATCGGAGAGCAGGTGGGTTAATAGGTCCACCATGATGACATATCTAGGATACAATTGATACCACCCCCCAAAAAACATACAAAAACAAAACAAAACAAAAAAAAACCAGTGAACGTAAGAGTCATAGACAGCCAAGTTCTGGCTCAGCCCGAACAGTGAGGCCCTCAGTGGACTCAGTTCTGTTGCTGGGGATGAGCAGGGTTTATGGAATCCAGTGCTGTGGATCAAGCACTGGGTTCTCCTCCTGCTATTTCTAAGTAGGCATGTGGTGATGTAGGCCTGCTAGAGACAGTGGGAGTGGCCTCGAGGCCGTGAATTCATGGTTAGCGCCACACTGGGGTACATGCCTGCTCCAACCCCTGCCCACTGCAAGCGTGCAGTGCCTGTCGGTATATGGCCAGGGCCTGGACGTGCGTCTGCTTTTCGAGCTGAGGTAGGTGTGTGTGTGTGTGCGTGTGTGTGTGTGTGTGTGTGTGTGTGTGGTGTCTAGACCTCAGCTGCTGGTTGTGTGCACTGGGTTTGCCTGCATATGCCAGGCCCAGACAGCCTGTTGCTAGGTGTGCGGCGTGGCGAGCGCACTCCCTGTGACAGGGGAGCCCGGCTCGACAGGTGGGTGAGGGTCCCCCGCCTTTGGCTCCGGGGACGGTCTCCTCCGCCGCGAGGGGTGGGGGGCAGGGGCTCCCGGGTGGCGGCCGCGTGCGCGCACGCCGGGCCCAGAACGCGCCGGGTACGCGTCCGTGCGCGCGCCCCGCGGCTCCAGCCCCGCGCTCGGAGCCGCCTTCGCGGCCACAGTCGGCTTCCCGGGGCTGCCGTCGCCTCCCCCCGGCCGGAGGCTCTGTCCGCGGGGCCCGAGCCGCTCTCCCGGAGCCAGGAGGACGAGCTGGAGGAGGATGCCTGGGCCCGTGAGTACCGCGGCGGCGGCGGCGAGCCGGGGGCATGCAGTGCGGACGGAAGACAGTCCCGGGCCAGCCCCCTTCCCGCGGGCGGATCCAAGCCCGGCCCGGGTCTCTGCCTCGGACCCTGGCCCCGGCCAGTCCCTCTCCCAGCCCCCACTGCAGGGAGGGAGGGGAGGAGAGGGAGGGCGCCAGTGAGCGAGGGAGCCGGAGCGGGGCGCGAGCAGCCACTGGTTCGCTTGGAAACGGTTGTCACAGCAACGGGGTTTCGCTCCTCGGTAACGCGACTGTGGGGCGGCGACACCCTATCCCAGCCCTCCCCCACCCCATGCGGGGCCTCTGCCCCCAGTCCCAGTGGGAGAGGGGACTACCCCTCTTACGGTTGGGGCGGGGGACTTGGCCCCTTGGGCCCTTTTGGGTGTGCTGGTCTCCATAACCCGTCGAGGGTGGGGGTGGGGAGGTGAGCACACCTTGGAGCAAGATTCGGCTCCCACGTGGCTGCGGTCGTCGCAGCGGGGCTCCTGGGGTGGCAGAGGTAGAGGGGAACCCTGGCAGGAAGAGGCATGGAAGCTGGATCCGGATCCCGCCACCCCCACCGCCACTACCACCACCTGCCTTTGGAATGGCCCAAACCCGAGCTGGGTACCCCATAGATGATGTTCCTTACCAGGGGAGAGGAAAGAAGCTCGGATCTCTCCTCCTCGTGGCCAGGGCATGTGCTGGGCCGGTGGTGGGTCTGGACTACTCATTCCAAGCCACGATTCTGCAGGAAGGGGTGGGAGCAACGTGTGCAGGGGCAGAGGAAAGGACTTTGCTGACCCCGGCCAGAAGGGAGCACCCCAGCCCATTGTCTGGATCACAAGTGTCCCTTTCTTGTCTGAGCACAAAGCCCAAACTGTGCTGGGTGGCATGCAGGCTGGCCACAGCCTGGCCAGGGCCACATGGAGATACCCTGGCCCAGGAAGCTCTTCTGAAGGAGAATGGCAGCAGAGTCAGAGGAAGTGACCTCTGGCTGCCTTCCCATCCTCCCCTGGTGTCGGTGTACTGGGGAGAGAAATGCCCTCCAGCCGGCTCTCCTGGGTCTGACTCAGCAGATGCCATCCCCTACTGACCACAGGCCTCGACCACAACCGCCACCCCTGGCTTTCCCTTCCCATCCAGGGTGGTGTTCTGGGCACCAGGAGAGACCATCATCCTGGGCATTTGAGATGTTGGCATAGATGTCCATGGATGAGTGGTGCCCTGAGTCAGGCCCAAGTCTCCTTCCCACAGACAGTAGTAGGCCTTTGGAATTATTCACAGGCCCTTTGCATTCCCTTTCTGCTCAGGCTGAGGCTCTGCATCCATTATTCCTAAGCCTTACAGCAGTTGTGCAAGGTAAGTTTATTACCCACATTGTGACATTGAAGGTGCCTGAGGCTCAGGAAGGTAGTGACTTGCCCAAGGTCACACAACCAGTCAGAGTGGAGCTAGGATTCCAGGGCTGGCTCTGTTGGCATGGCCGCACTGGGTGCTGCACATCTCTTGTGAGCCAGGCAGGAAAGAACTGAGGAGCTTCCTAGAGGAAGATTCTTCACCTTCTTTCACATTCCTCCAGTGAGCAAATGCGGTCTTTCCTGCCTTGGTACACCTTTCC